ATATATAATTAAAAATAATAACAAATTTTGATTTGGAGTGTTTAAAAATTATTTCTACTTCTAAACAAATATGTGAGATAAATGTGAAAAAATATTGTTTCTTAGATAAAATCTAGATTAAGTATATATAATACAAATACGAACTTAACAAGACAATAACAATGACATTTATACGAGGTTCAAGTCAGCAGAATTCCACGGCATTTATAATATATGCATAACTGTAAACTGACATTTTTATTTTACTAATTTATATTTTCTAGACATATTTCTATAATGTACAATATTTCAAACGTTGCCCATAGCGGAAGAAAATACCAAACAGTTACATAAATAAACAATATATATTATGAAAGATACCACCTGACAATAAAAATTCAATAATGGAGACATTGATAAAAAAACATATACAGTAAAATTAAATTGTGTGAGAACAATGTGAATTAGTTTGAAACAGGTCTCAAGACAAAGGTAAGCTCTCATAGACCGTCGGACAATCAAAGAGCTGGGATCGAATTGCTATATAAAACGCGCAAATAACAAGTTTAATTAAATCGCAAAAAACAGTTTGCTTACAAACCTACTACTACGATAGCTTTAACTGATATTCCTAGTTCAATACAGAGAGACCAACTTATAAGACGTATCAATAAATTACCTTCTATAGACAGATAATTACTTTTTATTGTTTCATTTACATAAATTATTTATTATATACACAGCTTTTTTTGATCTATTATCGTAACGGATCTAATATAAATTGGATGAGATTTATATAAACGGAATAACATAATTATTGTGATACAAGTACATATTCAAACACAAATTCAAATTTAATGCATTATTTTGACAGCCATTTGATTTGATTATAATTCAATATGTCATAAGTTCAATATGTATGCAATATGTCATAAGTCGAAATAATAGGAATATACGAAGTTATATTGTATAAAAAATATATATTTTTTACATGATGCCAGTTTGATTCAAGTATAATACGCATTTGTCATTTCTGGAGAGAGCAATATTAAGATAAATAAGAGGCATCAAGCGGGTCCTTTCGCTGAGAACATTTCGCGGTTAAGAAGGACTAATATTTTACATTTTGCTCAACGAATTTAGCATCTACACGGTGATGTTGCGGTTCATTTTCAAACGACAGTGACGAGGGTTTAGTGGCGTGCAATCTACAAATAGTAGTCCGAGAATAGAGCGAGGCTACTGGATAGTCGTAATCACATATCCAGTTAACGCTGCAAAATTTTTCTACAAAGTTTAAACAAATGTTTATTTGTTACAGATTATATCACGGCGCATTACGATCTACGTAAAGATGACTGACTAGTACAAGTTCTTTGACTTTTCTAGTACGTTCTATGGAATTTACTTACAAGGAAACTGTAGTTAGCGATTGTTCTTTATACTTACAATGCACGGGATTATCTTTTATTGTGAATATAACTAGTCAAGTCTAGTTTGATACGTGGTCGAGGGTTTAATTCAGGGATTAGGGCGGTCAGGTCAATAGCAGGTAGCGTAACCTCATGCCTTTCAAAACAACTCTTTATAGAGTTACATAGTCAGATATTATATTATTACTTACAATTAATTTATAATTTTTTCTGATATTCCAAGGAATCGATTAAGGCCATTGTGTAACGATGGAATTAACCATAAGTATAATTAAAATTTAAATTCTTATCAATACAATTAATTTAACTAAGTAACTAGTGTGAATTGAATAGATTATACTGCTATTTAAATATGTTCTACATAAATCGTCAATTAGCTAAATATTCTTAAAAAAACAGTATTTGAAATATACCGATTCCTACAAATCGATGTGTGCAAAGATCATAAGAGAACGTAACTCCGTCTGCTCCCGAATAAGTGCCAAGAGCTATTTTGGTACGGAGATGATGTTTTTATTGCATCGGGCTTCAGACTAGATGAAACAAGCAATAAGACATGTAGCTTTCACTAGCCCTCGCATATACTGTCCACGATTTATAACTGTTACTTTTTTTTATTGAATCAAAAAAAATTTGATTCGCCGTTGCAATAAAGAAAATGTTTATTTATTACCTGTGTGTTTGATATAGGTTAAATCCACGTAACCATTACCGCCGTCACAATCAAATTGCATATAATTACATTTTATAAATTTAAGGGAAGAATTAATTAGAGTGAGAACAACGCGAATGCCGGAATATATGGAGTATTTAATAATGATAATTAAAACATGAAGGTTCGTTAATATTTAGAACTAGTATAATATTTATCTTTATGATTTATTAGCACATTAACGCTTAATTTAGAATTCACAAAGATAAAAATATACTTTCGTAAAATTTTATTTTCTTAGAATTCTTTATTTTAGTAATAATATATTGACTGTTAAAAGTAAGCTTTAATTTTAATAATGAGTTCTTATTTAAATTTAAAATTATCATCATTAATTAAATTGTAAAAGCATTTTTTTCTCCGCTACTTTTATCTACTTCATAATTATTGCTCTATAACCAAATATTCATTTCTTAATTTAACGTTATGAAAAGTTTTGGTTCTAAATTAAGGAGGACAAAAATATTGTAGAAAATTGAGCTTCCGGTAAACTGTTTCGCGCGTTTTTATTCAGTTTTAAATAATTAAAAAGTATAATGTTCTTATCTTGTAGGTAACATGACATTTTAACTTATTCATGAATGTTAATTTATGATTTTTTTTCAAGCAAAATAATTCACATAAACAATATTAACTTTACTATGTAAAAAGGAATGAAATAAAATAATTGAATTTATGAATGAAAAGGTCGATTCTAATATGGCGTTTTATTAAAAAGTATTCGATAAAAAAAAACACTTGTATGATTTTATTTCAAAACCCAATAGTAAATATCTCTTTTACAGGAATTGCGGCATGACTTAGGAATTCACAAAAATATTCCAGGAATTTGTTTGTTTATCAATGGTTATTTGCGAAAATACTCACGTCTTGGATAAAATTTAGAATAATAACAGTCCATGCCACTTTCTAAGTACACTGCATCAATATAATTTCACTATTAATTTGTTTACCGTTCACTCGCGCATTACATGCAATACGTTTGACATTTCATAAATTAATCTGACAAGTGTCATCCCCGCACGCGAAATACGTCAAATCACAAACAGCCACCAACGCGACTGAAGTGTATCACGGTCGAACGATACCATACCGCGTCTTTCGAAAATTGCGCCATCTCAGTAAGCACATTCGAGCGAATTTAATCAAAACAAAAACACCTTGAGCTCACTTCATGCCCTACTGGCTTCATAAATGTTCAAAACCTAAAACTAGATAATGTTTACATCGCGAAATGCCGACACCCGAACGACCGGAAGTCGAAGCGAAGCAAACGCGACAACTATGTAAAATATTGCAGGATCGCGATCGCATTGTTGACATTCCCGAATAAAAATCACCAAAATCTTTCGTAAACTGTATGAAAATCACTTTAAAAATATTTTTACTCACCTAATTCGGACTTCAAAGGTGTAGTGAAGGAACGAATTTTGATTAGATGTCAATTTAAGAGTGAATTTAAAGAATATACTCTTATTGGTATGCGAAGAATGGCACAAAGAATCCCGACAACGCACGCGACGAATGCGCACCTCGTTTGCGCATATGCTGACACAACTTCATGGATGTTACTCCCCTTGCCCCGCGCGCACCCGGTATTTTGTGTTAGTGTGAGTGTCCACAGTGGTCAAACGTGAAATTTTGTGCATGTATACAGGCACACAGATAAAACTGTATACCTGCGTAGCTCCCCTTCGCCGCCATCTTTGTTACGACAGAAACCGAACATTCTATTTTTTACTTTCAACGACAAACAACGCCATCTATTAGATTATTATAGAATAATTAATTTTCTTAACAGATGGCTCTTACATCAATTATTGCTAGCAATTCCAGTCAATACACTAACTTATATTTATATAATTTTTACACTTACACTTATATTGCTTAATTTTTTATGCAAGGAATTAATATTGTTTATAATAAAATAAAATATATTTTGATAAAATTTTAATTACCATTTTTCAAATAATTAATATAACTAATAGATACTTTGACTTCACTATTCTAAATTAATTCTAGAAACTACTGTAATCTTTACTTAAGCTTAAGTTTACACTTTACATTTCCCATTCCTTATATGAAAATTAGATACCTCCAACAAGTTTTACAGTTAAGTGCACTTTTAAAATATTTTGCAATAAATATTAAATACATAAATATAGCTTCTTATAAAATATTGTTTTTGACAAAATTTTAGGCAGTCCGGACACAAATTCTAACACAAAACAGATTCTCGATTAGCTTCAATTTCAAAACCTTCGTAAATGCTATAACTCAAAACTAGTGCAGAACTATATTATGTCACTGTTTTAGTGTTAGTACAGTTAGGATAGTTTTTTTCACTCGATTGATATGTCACAACATTTTTTAAGTGAAATATATCACCAATAGCCCTTGTTTAATGAGTTTTAACTTTTAATACTTTTCCAGTGACTTAGAAATATAAATTGTAAAATCAATTAACATTTGCGCTATATATTAATAGAACTTAAAATTACCTTAATAATTAAAATGAAAAATATTAGTAAGGTGCCATTTACGTCTGAAGTAAAGAAAAAAAAAACAAAATTCATTACATAAAAAGGAAGGAACATTTTGAACGAAATGGGCTTTTTATAAATAAACTGAACTTCAAAAAACCATAGGAATACCGAACACTGCCAACAATTTACAAGACTTGAAATCTTGACGTCATTCAGTGCGAAATGCTACAATTACTGTAAACAAGAAAACAATGCTTATTGAAATAACATAAAATACATATGTAATATTAGCTATGTACAAATTAATATTCTAGAAATGATTAAAACTTAACATTTTCGTTTTTATTACGTATTATTACTAGTTTTATACTATTTTACCGTACGCTTTATTTAATTGGTCTTTACATGTGTGGGAAATACAACTTGCAGTTCGTGAGTTGGTAGATCGCGTACAACGATGGCGTGAAACGTCATATTTATTGTGGCTAGAATGTACTCGCAGATCGAAAACCAAGTAAACGCTGAAAGAAATAATGTAAAGATTAATTAATAATTAGATATAATCGTCAATGTATTTTTCTGCAATAGTACTTACCTAACGGCCTACAGAGCAAACGGTGTCTTAGAAAAAATATTATAAGCCCAAGAGTAGCTAATATAGATACAAAAAATAATATCCATACAATTCTATTGGTCCTGACCGGCTCCACAACGTCACTGGCTATACAACCGACGCGCGCTCGACACAACATATGAAGAAGAGATGCCACCATAAATATTATAAATATTTTTTCATGTGCAACTGAAAAAAACGACATAAAAAAACATAAATACATTTATTACACGCCACACCTTTCATAGTAGATTTTGTTTAAATTACCTAATAAACGATTTACTATATTTATAAAATTTTATGTTTAGTTTAATGAAAAGTAACTGTTTTGTACATTTTTTATGCTATAAAAATAAGTCAGTAGTGAATGCAGAATTGCAAAAGTTAATTACTAGGTATTCATAACTTACAATAATTTTCCCTGTTCGAAACATATGTGACTCCAGTTAAAGCTAGTAGCTCTATCATATTTAACCAATAACATGCATCTCCTAACTTGATGGCTAAAACTCGCGCCTGAAAATAATGTAATGTTTAGCGTTTCATTGTTGTTGATAGAAACAATAAGGGAATACTTACTTTTTCTTCAACTATAAGTGAAGTCCGGTCTTTATGATAGTTGTAATAAAGGGAACCTATCAAAAGTCTTGGTCCTAAATGATATGCGATGCATATCCTCCATACATATCTCTGCGGACTGATCCCCGTTATAGCACTTATAGATGGAACTACGTTGTAAACCTAGAAGATAAAAATTTAAAACATTAATTGTATAGCAAATAATACCTAATACCTACGCATATTTTTTTAAATAAATACAATAATTTTCTTACCCTACAGTGTGTTTCGTGAATATCATCTGCCTGGAATAAAGATGCCGTGATGTAGCAAAATATCAAAGCACCCAGGGGAAGCCAAAGGGCTGATAAACATATCCTCTTTAAAGAACATGACCAAAGCAGTCCCTGCAATTTTTTTATATTATTTATAATTCACTGTTTATAAAAAATATTACTTAACAGTACAAAGCGTACCTGAAATTTTAATGTCTTTACAGTTCTATTCACAGTGTGCAAATCGTTTGTGCGAACGACCCCATCCTCTGTTAAGTTTCCTGGCAACTGTATTTGTGCGTCATTTCCCATTTTCCGTCTCACTTTGCTTTTATTAATGTCATAATTTAAAAAATAAATATTTTACCCCACGCGTATTGTTTTATTATTTCCTTTCATTGTTAGTTAAGTAACTTCACAAATTTTGTTATTGGCCCTAGTTAACCCAGTGCTAAACATAAAGACTGTAAGGAACGCTTCATTGATGAAGCATTTAGTAATTATAATAGATTTTGAGCTATATAATAATATAAATGGATATAATAATCATAGAACGAGTTTAGGGGGGCTTGAGGCGTGGATAAAATGAAGTTATCTAGACTTGCGCATTCGGGACCTCTGGGTTTGCTAGCATCTCAGTACGGAATTTTAAGAACGTTTCTTGCAGAATCGATACTTAATAAATCTACGTAATAAAGAATATTTATTTCATTTCATTAATAGAGTTGTTGGAATTTTGTAATATTTTTCAATAGTATATTTTTGTACCAATAAAAATATTTGGATTTACATTAAGGTTATATTCTATATTTATTTGTTTCCTAGAATTATATTTAACATTTTACAACTTAGTTTTTTTTAAACTTAAGGTAAACTATCGAGCTGAATAGTTAACTGTAGTTTTATAGAATATGAGAGTGAAAATTAACCAATTAACTTAAATAGAATTTCAAATTGCAGTGGATTATAAAAGATACAGTAGGAGTTAATGGAATAAATGTTATAGAGAAATAAATGTTTTTAAATTATTTTAAAATTTCAACGTCAAATCGATTGCCTAGGTGCATTATAAGTTGTCAGAATTGTATCAAACCTGAGTGTTGGTACCACTTACAACTTTTAACTTCAGTTGTCAATAATCTGTTGGGAAGATTGTACATGGGATATATTAAAATTTTTAATGTAATCGATATTTTATAAGAACCTAAAAAACTCACAAGATTACTAAATAAATAATGTCCTTTATGAAGTATTAATTAAAATACTATTGCAAAAATGAGTGCTGCAACATTTATTTCATTGTTTTGTGTTTTTATAAAGTATATTATAGGAACTAAAGCTTCTAATCACTGGATGGTCACTGAAAGTGGTTTAATTCAACCTAGGGTATGATAACCGCTTCCTGGTTTTGTTATTTTATAAAGATACAGAAATAAAAGATACAATTAATATTCTCATTCATTTTGATGGAAATTTATGATATCGTTTCAGATTGACTCACCTTTCAACTTGGCTCGCCCTTACGATCTCTTGGCTTTTTTAAATCAGGAAAAAAGATGGGATACTGTTTTTGAAATTTATAATGATCTATCAAGTAGACAATCCATTATTGATACTCTTTGGGCTGATGTCGAAAAAGACACTAATATGGGAGTTAAAATAGCGCGTAATGAACATTGTGTTAAAGCTGGCAATGTGAACGTTATAGATTGGTATGCGGCTCTGTTAGAAGATGGATCAAAGAAGATCCCTGGTAAAGAATTTCTGCTACCTATTCCGTACTATGGCCCTAATACTGACATGCCGGATTGCAAACGAATCTCCTCATTGGCATTTAGTATGTTTGCATTTGAACATTTAGAAGTGAGTATGAACATTTTGTAATTCAAATTTAAAAGTGTAATATCTACCATTAATAGAGCTTGATCTACCATTAATAATGAATATTTTTATAGGGTATGTTACAACGAGACAATCTCACAGTGAACCCTGAATTTGTTCTGCCAGAGCTGATATCTCCTGTCATGACCCTAGATCAGTTTGGTCACTGGTTGACAACTATGCTTCAACGCAATAACTCCTCCTGGCTGTATTACCACATGGCCTCATTGTATTGGCGGATTAGGGGAAATGCACCTAAAGCTATTGAGTGTAGCCGACGTGCTTTGCACTTTGTACCAAGGTAAACACAAATAAATTTAATTTATATATTGTACTTAATTCTTTGTATATATAATTTAACAATATTGTTTTAGAAAAAGACCCAAAGCTACTTTTCTAAGTAATCTCTTGTCATATTTCTAGGGTGTACAAAGATATTGCTCTCGGAAGTCTTGGAATGATTTTGCACAGAAGCAGCAAAACCAATGATGCTATAGTTGTTTTAAAAGCTGCTATTGATCATGATCCAAATAACTATGTTAGTCATTTTGCTATTGCAAATGCCTATACAGTAATTGGAGATTTTAATACTTCTATAAAGTATTATGATAAAACACTTAGGTTAAATCCGAGGATGGAATTGGCTGCAAAACACAAGTTTGGAGCGCTGTGTCATGCAAAACTAGGATTAAGGATAAACTCAATTAGACAGTGAGTAAAAATAAGTAACTTTATAAAACTCATTTATATTTAAGTGACATAATAGATTATCTTATAGTTATAATGACCCTTTTTGAATGCATTGAGATTCTTGATGAGGTAATTTGGAAAGATGCAACAATTTTCTCAATTAACATTTCCAGCTGTAGAAAAAATTCTTAAGTAAGAAACTTAAGAATTTTCTACTTTCTCCAATTTATTATTGTAAATTTTTTTCACTTTTATAAATGTTAGTTATTTTTATTATTTAAATAATCTGGTCAAACTCCATGTTCAATCTTTTATTTTGCCTTTTCTCAGAGATATTTCCTTTCTCTATGTTATGTTTTTTCTTCCTGTTCTAGTTTATTCTATTTCCTATGTCTATTACATACTTCATACAGGTGTTTGGTCAAAGAGGAGTCCTACTTTTGACTATTTGTTCCCAGTTGCTTGGATCTTATTGGCTGTATGTAATTGATAAAGTAGATTGCTGTTATAATATTGTTATTATTATGATAATCAATTAAAAAACGAATACTAATATTACTTACTAAGATATGTTGCATATGCATAATATGATATGATGCAAAATATTCTGGGGGACAAACTATTTTGCCATAGTTTTTTATGTTTATACATATATATATTTCAGGACATTTAACAAGTTACGTCAAGAATTAAAGGAATATACCAAGAAGGAAACTAAATATCTTAAAGTACAGGCAGAGTTTCTAGGAACCGTAAGACATCCTGATGATTATGGTACTTTTCAAAATCATAACAAAAAGTAGTAGTAGCATGATTTGCCCTAAAGACTAATTACAGAAGATCTTTGTCCAAAATCTATCAAGTTTATAAAAAATATATATATTTAATTAAAAAAACTTTCAAAAACACTGCATGAAATAATTATAATTGTTCGGTTTTTAGAATATAGAAATGTAGATAAAACATTTGAAAGAATGGCTGAGATAACGGGTTTGAAAATGAAAGATATGAAAATGAAAATTGATAAAAATTCCCTTATTAAGTATTTTCTGGATGGTCTAATATATAACGACGACAAATTAGCCAGAGCGGGTATTGATGGCATTGATACAATATACAGCTTGGAAAGGCTTGTTATGCATATTAATACAAATTCAAATGGTCAGAACGAACCATTTCATGATCAACCGAGTTTCTCTATAAACATTAAGGAGAAAGTGAAACCTTCTGAACAAAAAACAGGTATTTTATTTTGTGTGTTTTACCTTTTTCACGGTTTATATAAACATTAAAATTTACTGAGTATTTTCTTTACTAATAGCTAAGAATATTGTTTCATTACTATTTCATATGTACCAAATGTCTACTTTCTAGCAAAACCGGTTTCTCGTGATAACAAAAAAGAATACCATCTGGTCATTGAGAAGAAACCAACAGCAGATGAAGAATTATCAGAATTTGAGACTGGAATTATTATGTATGTACTGTCAAATAAGAATTATATACAATAATAGAATCTAATGTGAAATATATAGAATTTAATGTTAAATGAACTGTTATTTATATGATATTGATTATTATGTTTTAAGAAAACTACAATATATTAAAAAGATAACAAGTTTATCTATAATATGAGATCGGATGAGATTTTGCTAGAATTTAATATTGAATAAAACCAACATCATTTTTAAACTTTTTTGTTAAATCTGAGAAACAAATATATATACATATATATATGAATATCTATATACATATATAAAATTCTCGTGTTGCGGTGCTAGACAGAGAACTTCTCCGAAACAGCTGGACCGATTTTGATGAAATTTTGTGAGCATATTGAGTAGGTTTGAGAATCGGCCAACATCTATTTTTCATACCCCTAAGTCATAAGGGTTTTTCACCCTTAATTTAATTTTTTTTATTTTCGGACGAAATTTTTTATTTTTTTATAATGCAGCATTAAAAAATACATACAACCCATAATTTTTACTTTTATATCACCAACCCCCCTTTTTATATGGCAAAACAACGTTTGCCGAGTGCTGACTTGTATATACCAGCTGTAGTATATACAGGGTGACTGGTGAATTACTATTGATATTTGAGGACGTGATATTTGACGATCATATATGACAGAATAAAAATTAATATAACATAAATATTAATAAACTTCTAAGTAAAGTTAACCAAAAGTTATGTAATTAATTACGCATCGTGTGAACACCCTACAGATTAGGTATACACACACACTCACACATACGCGTGTCGCGGCGTGGTGTTGTATCAGCACGCCGCCGCACGCGTCCACACCTGGAACACTTGGAACGTGTCAACACTTTACTTATTTATACGGAAATTTTGACAAAAATTAAGTGCCTATTTTTTTTACATAATTCGAATGAGAATCATGTACCGAGTATTCTCCTTAAATATTGATAGTAATTCACCAGTCACCCTGTATATAATATAAATATGTATGTGTGCATTTCTTTATGTTTATTAATTTATACTGTTATGTGAATTTAAAAGATAGTGTGTTTTCCCAGGTATCCACCAACTATAACAATAAATAGGAACATAGAGGACTTCGATAAGGAGATGGAATGGCCTTCAAATAAACTTTGCAAAGAATCAGCACATAAATTCCCTGAGAATGTTGAGGCTATATTCCCTGTTTTCTTGCCTTTCGAGAACAAAGGCATTAGGTAAGGTACGCTTTCAATTGTGTTGTTTTTTTTAATTTTTTACTCATTTTTCTTTCACTTATCAATTTCCTTATAGAAATCTTGTTAGTGTATATTTTAAATATTTAATAAGTCTTTTAAATTTTGATGTCAAAGTCAAGTATAGAACAATGTTTAGAATTTTTCGATAATAATCACCTCAGTTTCCTTGTGATAAGGTTTACGTGCTATTTATTTTACTTTAATTACGAAAACAATGGACGCATGAAATCCTAACTGAAAAATTTCAATTCTGATTTTATCATATACTAGCTTCGACTTCGTCCGCGTGGAATAGTGACTTCCAGCAGATTTTTGGTTCTTCCCACATAGTTCCCGTTCTTGCGGGGTTTTCGGAATGGTCGAGTTCCCGTAGAATTTTCAGGACCTATGTTTTTTTTAATTCACAATGAAGTACTCTTAACCAACAACATATTTATTTGTTTATTTGAATAAAGATTAATAATATTATTATGTTGATACACCTTAAACAAATTATTTCGCCCAAATTAGGTACCATAAAAACGGTTTTTGTGAGTTAATCTTAAAAGATAGACATATACTGTTGCGGACTGTTTTTTAGATCATTAAAAGAGCTATTATTCTTAAATACATATTTTTTGTGTATCTTGAACCGTTTTCACGGCGCACGCGACGGAAGGCTTCAAAGATGAAATAATTTCTCCCGTTTTTTTCACATTTACCACTATATCTTTGCTCCTATTGGTCGTAGCGTGATGTTATATGGCCCACAGCCTTCCTCGATAACTGGACTATCAACAAAAAGAATTATTCAATTCGAACCAGTAGTTTCGGAGATTAGCGCTTTCAAACAAACAAACAAACTTTTCAGCTTTATAATATTAGTATAGATTTTTTTTGTCAGAGGATACCTTTACACAATAATATTATATTTTTTTAATGAAGAAATTTTAATGTTGATTTTAATTAGGTTCAAACTTATTTGTAGGAGACAGTGTTGCTGTTATACCATGTAATATTATATATTTACAGAATGAAGTCTCTATTAACTGGGAAGCTCGGTGTGTCATTAACTGAAGAGTACGAGCTGCCGTGGTACCCGCCATCTTGTGACCGTGATGGGAATTCATCGGGAAAAAAATCACATAAGTAAGAAATGTAACAGTTACATAAAACTAATATTTTCGGATTGCTACTTAAAACCAAATAATAAAATAACGGGCAGTAATCCGAAAATCTTAGTTTCATTTAAATTAGCAGTCGCGAAAGTCTCAGATCTCAAAATCTAAGTCTTGAATGAATCGTTTAATATGTAGAATGATATGATAATCTGTCTTTCATATAGGCCGGTTAGTAATCTATTTGGGAACAAATCTTCATGTCTGTGATATTAATATAACATTAATACAAAGAGGGCGGACGGGCTCTATATGAAACTTAAACGCGCAAAAGCACGCTAATCCCGTTTCTTGAAGTACACTTTTCTAACTACGTAATTGGCTTATTTAAATAATAAATCTGGTTAAAACGGTTTAAATGTGATGGTTTCTTTATGGGAACATTTTTCACGTCGTGTAATCCTAATATCATTGATGATTCTGTACCCGACGAGGTATTTTGTTACCTCCTTCAGTTCCTTTATTGTTTGAGTATTTTTCTTCAAGTTACATCAATAAGTGATTTCTCATATTTATATATTACTATTGAAACAAATTGATTTACTGTTTTTTTCACAATCAACTTGATCAACTTTCACAGTCGTCATTTAACAGCAATGCTTGCTCAGACTCAACCAATCGTCATTTAAAAATCAAATGTTTTTTTCACTTACCTAAATGAAATCAAAGAGTCTCATGTTTATTAATATTGTTAGTTTTTAATTAATCACATTAAAACTTTTTTTTCTCCTGTAAATAAACAAATAAACAAAATATAAGCGCTTATTAGTTATGATCTTTTAAAACTCTGATTTAATTTGTGTGTAACATATCATTTCAGACCTCAATTCACGTATGAAGTGGTGGACACGGGGTTCTTGAGGCAGAAGCTATTGGAATATGTGAGCGATGAAAGAAGCGAGGACGCGGCACACATGCAGGACGCCGAAATAGGACATAGAATATACATCGCTATGAAGAAGGTAATAAGGAACATTGTTGCCTATTGAAAATATTCTCTTTTGTAGGAACTTGAATATTATTTGAATGTTTACTAAGAAAATAATTGGTTTCATTGCCTCTCAACCTATTTATAGTAATAGGAAACGTACACATTACATTTAAAAAAGGTGAAAAAGAATCTACATTTTATCTAGGTACTCGTTTATTAAATTTCATAACATCGCTTAAAATAATTATTATAAATAAAGGAATGGACATAAGGAATAATAATTTTCAATGCAACCAATTTTTTTATATATGTACATTACTATGAATGCAATTTAAAATAACCAAAGTGAATCGAAAGAAGCCTAGTTTTATTAAATTACTGGCTTTTGCCCGATACTCCGTCCGCGTGGACATCACAGTTGTTCTCTGCCACTACGACCACTTAGATATTCTTCGAGGTTTTACCCGTGTAGTTTCGGGATCGATATAAGAGATAGTCTACTTCCTTCTCCAGGGTTCCATCTATCTGTATAACAAAATTCATCAAAATCTATTCAGTGGCTTAAGCGTGAAAAGGTCGCAGATACGCAGAGTTTCACATATAATATTAGTATGGATGAAATCCAAATATATCATTATAATCAACAGAAACCTATACATTGTACTTTATAGAAACTGGCGCCGCGTTGGTTGGTACTAACTCTATCATCTTTATACTGGAGAGTCCGAGGCCAGCCGTGGTCCGCTCTGAGTTGTTTGCGAGCTGCTATGAAGGTTGTAAAGCCGCGCTACAAGGACCTGGTACTGGTGTCTTTGGCCTCCGTACAGCTGGAAATAGGTCTGGCTGATGAAGCGATGAATAACGCTGAAGAGGCCTTCCGCATGAGCTTCTATGAGGTATCATCTATATACAATTGTTTAACACCACATAATTACAACATCTAATGTCTTAATTATTGTTCTTGATTTAAATTATGCCTCTCGAAACTGGAGAAGTGTCTGAATCTTAAGAGACAGCAGCAGTATTCTGTGTTAAATTGGTCTTACACTCGATTATTATTTTTTATTTGTAAGTATTTAAAATTACAAATTATGTAATTTCAATTTAAATATATTTTTAATAATCATAATTGAAAATTATCCTCTGATAGTGACGACTTTTTGTCATCACTTACAAATTCATACGAGAATTTTTACTGGAAACGTTGTAAACTGAAAGAGAACAGGATAATCTTTAATGTGTCAATATTATCAATAGTGTAGAGAATATAATGAAATATACGTAAGTTAAAAAAGCTTATCTATGTACAATTTATATAAAAAACGACTCAATGAAAACTATGTCTTGTTATCTTCTATCTATAACATCCAGCCAGCTACAAATTTCCTGATCGCCGAACTGAGTATGCTCCGCAAACATCGGAACACACACATGTTCCACTTGAAACAAGTGGTGAGAGTTGAACCAGGGTTCATGGGCGGCCTTGCTAGGGAACTGCTGCTGGCCTGGGCCTGTATACTGAAACAGGTCGTCGCTCTCAGAGAGATGGGTTAGTCGCTTATACTATTAAAAATATTATTCCGCCCTGTAACACAGTTTTTTTTATTAGCACAGTACACGATATATTTTCCATAAATATATTATCATCGTGGAAAATTAATTCGGACCTGTGTTTCTTTGAGATCAATATATGATTTTAGTTATTTGATAATTATAAATATTGTGGATATTTAAAAAGAATGATAATAATCTATATATTGTTGATTGAATTTTTCATTACCTATTTATTGTTTCAGATTACATGAAGGGCGCCATTTGTACTCAAGTTCAACCGCTCATGGATTTAGTCTGTCAAGAGGATGAAATCCACTGTAAATCGCCCAACATACAATGTTATACCAATCACGGTAGAAATGTGTTATGAATATATAATTATTAGGGTTTAATTTGTCTAACAATTTAATTTATTCCAATAGATACGAGCTCTCTCGTTCGGATGATGGATGAATCTGATACGGATTCCTTTTTTGCGATCAGTGAAAATTTCTTTGATCCGCTCATCGAGAATACTCCGGCCGACCGCGGTGAGAGGTTAGCCCACCACGCCAACTTTGACAGCATGATAACTACCATTGAATCAATATACTCCGGATGCGGAAACAAGAAATGTGCATGTGAGTTTTGGTGTTATAAAAGTATTAAAAGTGGAGTAGAAGTAAACAAATTATTATTTAGAATAGAAAGCAAGTTAACAAACTTGTTTGAAATGTTTAACTTATATTTATTCACTAAATTGCTATCTTTTCCGAATTTTATCATCGAGATTGCGTGTAGAGATTTATTTAATAACAATATACATATATTCTAATACTCATCTCTTTTTTAAACTGATTTACTTCATTTAACAACAATACCAGGTGACTTATTATAGTGTCAAGTATCATTTAAATGAAATAATTGATTTTAAGATCATTCTAAGAGATTCTAACATATAATATTAAAGTTACATTAGTCATATCATCTAATCTACAGAATTATAATATAGAATATATTTGAAGCTGAAATTGTCTTCCCACTAATATTATTCCTTATTCAGATCTTGGACAGGAAGAGACTGGTGTTAAAGAAGAGGACTGTAATTATCAGCACCTACAAATAGGACATTGGTTGCATATTGTCAGCTTCAGGCAACTTCTCGCAGATTCCAAATTAGAGTACGTTTATTTTCATGATTGTGATGAAATCAGGTGTATTATTATGATCCTTTATTTTTAAATATTTGTTACCGATAGTGATTCTGTAAATTTTATGATACATAAAATAGATGTTACAAGACTTGCGTATTTGCAATTTATTAAATCAATAATAAATATTAAAATAGTAATCTAATGCATAAATCGACTTCTCTTTATATTCAATTATTGTTTATTAAGACATGTTGTATGTTTGATTTCAGATTACCCACAGAAATATCATCGATACAAGTGAATAGTAAGAAGATTCCTGAATGTCGGCTGCCGGATGAGTTGGACGACTTCTACTTGGAGAAGATCGCTCGAGCTGATACAGAGGGCTGGAAACCCGTCATGACATTGATGCATCAGTTCTCTGAAATGTTTGACTCATATGACTTCAATACATTGGGTTCGAAGATCGCGAAGTATGTCGAAATGGTGAGTACTTTACTTCTAGTAGAAAATCTTGAGATATATAATCAAATACTACTTGAACTAGTAATTTTGTTAATTAAAGACTATTTGTACTCTATTTCGTAATTCATTACTATGAGAGCAGTTAGGACGAAAACATGGTTAAATCTGAGATTCACTTTTTGTGAAATAAACATTCAGCGAAAATAATTTTTCTCTTCTTCTTCTTGCAATTTTTTTGCATTATTGAAGTTGAATATGTTTGGAATAAATAATTTTCGTCATAATTTCCTCCTCCAAAACATTGATGAAAATGAGATTGACGAGATGCCTGCCGTGATCCCGGTTGCTGCAAAGTAACCGAAACGTCGTCGTGTGTGGTTTTTTAAAAATAGTAAAATAACCGAAGTCATCCGTAAATATTATTTTCATTTAAATATTAATAATATATGCGGATCAAGTTACAGCTTTCCGATCAGAACTAACATCTGTATATTTTAACAAACTATCAACTACCTCTGTGTCACGAAAGTAGATTAGAACGAGTACGAGCTGTTCATCACAGCTTTATGAAAGTTATTTGTATTATCCAGTGAATGTATCTCCACTGGTTAGTTGTGTCTGAAAATCTGACAATTCCTCTCTTATATGACAGAAAATTGACATTAAACTACTAAAACTATTAAAAATAAATTGAATAAGCATTTTCCAAACAATATCGAGTGTCAATTCATTAAAAGGGACATGGTTATTTTATCCAAAAATGGTACTGCAAGTAAGACACTTATATTTTTTCTTTACCATCAGAAAATAGAGGTTTAAATGAACAGATAACATATTAACTTTACGCAAAAAAGCAGAGAAAATGAGGCTGATTTTTCGATCATACGATCGATTTCGATATTACTAATGACAAAATTAACGCGGACGAAGTCGCGGGCAAAAACTAGTATATTATAAATAACAGGACCAAATGTCTGTCACCTTCATATCTCGTCTTAAAATAAACTAAACGTCGGGAATATGTAGTTTTTCCAAAAAATAAAGCAAGCGTAGTATACCCTAAAGATATTAGTTTCATTTACATATAATATATCGTTGTATAATTTCGTTTCCAGCGTCCTCGGTGGTGGGCGGGCCTGGTGGCGGCCGGCTGGTGGTGTGGTGCCGGTGGTCGCGGGCAGTGCGCGGCTCGTTGTCTCGCCGCCGCTCACAGATACGCCCCACACAAATACGCCACGTATCCGCTGAGATCCCTGGCCGCCATGTTGCATATGTCAGTATATATCAAACTATAGTTTTAATGTACGACGAACATCTACAACAACTTGCGTATTATTTTTTTTGGGTACAACAATTATTTTCTCTATAGTAAAATCAAGTGTCTTATTTTGCTTTTCCCTATAATTTTGATCAAAATATTACGTCTATGATATTTTTTGTATAAGACAAATTTCGTTCAATTAATAACGTTTTAACAGTTTCAGGAATATTAGGTAGTTATTTCTGTATAAATCGATAACATTATAATGTTACAGGCAATCTAAACAACAGGACGCCAAACAGATCGCCTACCTGTCTTTCTACATGTCACCTAAGAATAAAATAGAAGCTTTCCTTTTAGCCGTATCACACGCGTATCTGGTGAGTTGAATTATGCATACAAGTATAGAGATAATTTATATTTGAATCTCAACCTTATAGCCAACGTTCTATGGGTAAAAGTCTTAAAATAAAACAAAGGACGTTCAAATGTTACAAAAAAAGAACATACATTGAGAACATACAAAACAAAGAACATACATTGAGATTATATTACGGAAAGCTTAAGTTTTCAATTTGAATAAGGCATGTTGATTTTTTAATAGTCTATTATCTATAGATTGTTTAAATAACGACTTATTTATACTTTTTTCTATGTATATATTTTAATAATATCATATATGTGTTATATGTTGCAGGCTGAGTACGAGCAAGCTATGTGGATGTATCGCTATGCCCTCACTTTCGACGCTGACTTCGTCCCGGCCAAGGCCAGCATACATTCAACGATATGTCTTCTTTTATATCGTGATGGGAAAGCACAATTTATGGAATAAATTTGCTTGAAATTTTTGAAATTATGTATTAATATATGTATATTATTCTGTATCTGTTGTTGTCCCAGTATCGATTCAGGAAGATAATCTTAGTTTTTGATGTCCACAAACTGTATACGACGCTACAGTTCAGTATTTTATTTGTCATTTTGTACATTTTCTTAAGGTTTATATTTTTTTCTTATTCTTCCTAGCAATTTCCCAGCTTTAGTCAGGGTATGCCAAAGTTCGGTAGTTGATTATATTTCAACCATAATAATAACTTGTCTTATAAGTGGCCATATTATAACTATTATTTTAAATAACTGAAGTATATGTAATAATTTTATATATCTCTCTTGTTCTTAGACATTTTTTCTGATTTTGTTTGATAATTTTATCTTCAAAATAATTTCCATTGCAATGTAAGTACACAAAAGACCGTAAAAATCATTTTTGTTAAGGTTTTTTCTCAGAACAATTGTGATATTTTTTATAGTCTAAAGATTTGTCGACTTTTGAGTTAAACTGAGTACTTAATGATCACAAAACTGTTCCCTAGTAATTAATTTTGGAAAGTTGGTCTATTCTATTGCATTGTGTAAAACAAATACGCCTGATGTTAAAAAAAAAAACATAAAAATGACAATATAATATTTCAATTAAACGCGCAAAATGCTTTTGTCATGGAAACTAATATATTTATTGATGTTACAAAAATGTATATATCACAGCGTCATATTCCTAATAAACAATATTTTTTATTTTCCGGTAGGTATATATTTTTTAAACTGTTAATGTACACGTTACTGATGACAGTTCACATCAAATAGAATTCGCAATTTTTGTCTTACTATAAGATTTAGATTTTCTAATCGTAGCTTTTTCAATCGAGCCTTTAGCAACTATTTAGATTTTCTAATCGTAGTTTTTTCAACCAAGCCTTATACTGTAATGTTTCTATATAAGATTTTAATGTATCTTTATAAAATGAAACCACTTAAATAACTCTGTATTAATCGAATATTTAGTGTCATATACATTTTTAATCAACTTATCATGTATTAAATTATATACCTATTCATAGTGTATAACTGATTCTCGTATTAACTGTAGCAGTCGTAAATATTCAATCTATGAATCTCAGTAATAATAATCTTAGGTATGTCCCATTTATTTTGAGGTTTAATTTTAGGGAACAATAAAATTATATTGCTTATAATTTGATTGGTATCAAAAGAACAAAGTATGAAAGTTTTATTGTTTGTTATTTTACAATTTTAAATAATTAGATTTTATATTAATGGCATTTATACACACCAGTTACATGTGTTCAAGTAAATTTCAAGTATATTTTCTTTAACTTTATCTTTCACAGCTCTTGTAATACACTAATCGATTTCTTTTTAAGTTTAACATGTTTAGTTTACTATATCTAAGTTTTTTAAACGATAATTTTTGACTTTTAGGTATAATTTTCGTATAAATTATGATCAATTGTTCTGCTGTCTCTTCTAAAAATTAACTTCCATTGTATGTCATGTCTTGGCCGAATTTCATGATTTTATCTTATCTTAATTTACTATAATAACATTCTAATTTTGTTATTTTCGGATTTCCTTTATTCTGTCTACTTAGAAACTTCATTAAATTTATCATACTCAAGGCCTCATATTTTATTTAATAATGTTCTTAGAAATTGTCATGTTTGTTATATAAGTGTTAATTTTTTTTGTAATTACATAGTGTTTTAAAACTGATGTTCATTTTGTTTATTGAAATAAAGGACGATTCTGGAGATGTTTGCATGGATATTTATATAAATTCATCAAATTTCATCAATTTGGTACAAGATTAGGTAAGGTAGTATTATAACATAACTTTAATATAAAAACATATTTTTATTGATAGTGGAAATTAAGAATACAGTGTTCCTGAATAAGTGAGATTTTGCCGTCAGTTAATTCTTATACTCAAGAAATAGTAATCTCAGCTTTTTTACCTTCTTCCCTTCTGTACTTAAAAGTTTATAGTAGAATTGGTTGTCATTGACTTGATTAACTAACATAATATATTGTAAGGTACTATTGGCAATGACATGACATCTGAGTCGGCAATCTCAATGCAAATATTAACAAATATTCAGAAACAGTTATGGTTAAAGACGCGTTATACACAAATACAAATATATAGACAACTTTATTCTTTCGTATTAGGTATAATATTTTTCAATGGGTTTAACCATATTTTATTTTAATAATTGTGTAATTATTATTAATTAATCTATGGGTTTACCCGTAATTTTTTCAGCACAACCTACAAAAGTTTTTCTTCTTCCTAGCAATTTCCAGCTTTACCCAGGGTCAGCCTTACATGTTGTAAATAGTTTTGGCTAATTGTTTTTACGACCGGCCGCCTACCTGACATCAACCCTCTTTGGGAATGCATTAATCATCAATTAACCACATTTTCTCAAGACCGGTTGGTGATTTCAAACTTATAATTATGAAACTATAAGTCCAGTTTTCCTCACGATGTTTTCCTTCACCGTCTGTCAGTGGTGTCTAAATACTCTCAGAAAATACATATGACTCGGAAAATCACATTGATACTTGCCAGGATCGAACCCGCGATCTCGTGCATGAGAGACTGGTTTAACCACTAGGCCACCACAGACTAAACACAACCTAAAAAATATTTTTATACATATAAATTTTAAATTATTATTTTTATCAACTTTGAAAGTAAATACAAGATATGCCCTCATCGTATAGGTATCTATTTTATTCAATAAATGTAAAACATAAAATTCGTTGCTAATTCGGTAAACGCCGTTGAACCATAGCTTGCCGTTGGAGGCACTTTTCCTTTGACCAACAGATGGCGCTGTGTAACATTTAGTCTTCATAAAATAAAAAGGTAAATATTTAATACACAATTACTGCATAATTATCTGAATCATTATATACCCGTTTAATTTTCAAAGGATTGACGTAATATTATTAAATTGATTTAGCAAAAAATCGTTATTTGATTTTAGTGCCATCTGGTGACAATATCATAAATTATAGTTCCTATGAACATACATACTCTATAATTATTACTTTTTTAGTTTTTGTTTAGACTCGACGATGACGTGGCCAATAAAAATCGATACAAAGTTAGTTACCTTCGCCCTAATTTTGTTAAAATGACATTTTTTTATCTTATTTTGCTGTTTCATATTTTCCTGAGTTTTATATTTCGTTTGATTTTATATAAAATATGGTTTTAGATAGGTGACCTATTTCGTTATTTCTAAATAACGCTTTATTTGTTTTACGAGTTCTTACAAGTTTAACAGTTTGTCTTTATATAATATATCTGTATCCTTTCTTTTATAGAAATATAAACTTTATGAATTATCGGCACGCACTGAGTCATGTGTACTTTCTAAGAGTATTTGGACACCACTGACATACGGTGAAGGAAGACGTCGTGAGGAAACCTGGACTTTTAATTTCAAATTATACCAAAGTTTGAAGTCGTCAATCCGCCTTGAGCAAGCGTGGCGATTGATGCTCTAACCTTCTCCATGTGAGAAGAGGTCTTTACTCGGCTGTGGGCTCCGATAAGCTGATGTTGATGATATCAGCAATCCTTTGCAACACAAGATAGACTATTCAGTAAAACCCTTGTATACTACTACTGCAAGGGTTGGAAAATAAAAGTTAAGACTCAAAGTTCTTAATCGCATTTAGACTCGCACTTATATTTACTGTGGTGCCTGAAAAATGAAAATATAATACGAAATCTGTAATTAAGTGATTCCTTTTCGTAAAGAACATTAAGTTTATACAAAATATTCCTTTAAATATCATTTATAATTTGGGTGTTTCCTTTTTTATTTGTATAAAATAAGTTGGTCACTTTTCAATAAAGTTTAAACTAAGTATTTTTATTTCATTTTCACTGAAATTAAATAGAATTCAATTATTTTTTTTGCAGACACAATTGGGATTTTCAAAATTTTTTTTTGTGATAAATGGAATGATCATACATATATTTTATGACAAAACTAACATTTTTTCCGTATAATTAAAAAGTTACATTAAATTACAAATACGTTGTTTAATCCAGTACCGAAAACACGGCGACATTTCGCTAACCCGAGAGCGTGTAACGTCACACTAATAATGTCTCGTCACTGTAGCATACATACATTTGATACAGTTGTTTGACGTTTTAACAGATAATATCTCATTATTATCGTCAACATATCGATAAATATGTATATTAATTAATATTAATATTAAAATTGCTTCGTACCGTCGTGTACGAATACTACAAAAACAACCCCCGAAAATATATTTTTAAAGATTCCTCAAGATGCTAAACGTCCTAATCAGTGGTTTCAAGCAGTGCGCCGACCTAATCCCAAAACGACATATTTTTTTTTGTTGTGATAATCATTTATATATACCTAGTTATTTTATAATAATATAGAAATCAAGAAGAATTTATAGAAATGAAAAAATTAAATAAATAGAATTCAATAACATTTTTTTTTCCACTTAACGTCAGATCGTAACTCTAAAAATCATAACATAAAAACAAATTCTTTGAATAATTAAAAACATAAACATAGTAAATTTTTATATTGTTATCAATTAGTTTTGGTTTAAATGTAGTAGTTTTATACTTTTATAACGCGTTCGGTTACAAATGCGTCAAAGCCATTGCGTTAAAAATCTATTTCAAATTTACTAGAAGCTCATACAAGTATTGCATCTACTTAGTAGTTTTGCACGTTCTATTAGCTCACAAGACATTTATGAAGCTTGAGAAAATACTAGGTCAAGCAGTATAAGTTCTAGTAGGTAGCCTAGATTACAATCTCCTGTAAAAAGGCTGAAATATTGAAAGTTACCAATTTTTTGATCAACGACAATTTAAAGGCGTATATTGGAGTTCCTGATGAATAAAATGTGATACTAGAAAGTTATGTGTTAATTCTAATATGAATGTACTACTAAAATAAA